ATTTACGGGGAGGCCTTCGTTCGGCAGTGGATTTTAAATACTTACTTTACGGTAACACAAAACAATGTCAGTGCTTTGCCCCTTAATTTTTTGCACAATTTTAACTCTTTCCTTAATTTTTCTACTTTCAGAATGTTCATAGTTTAGTTCATTTATTTCTTATCTATAATGATCATAATCATAAATCATAAACACTCACGCCTGTCACCCAGAGGGGTAGGCAGAGACTACGGACTTCCATTTGACACGATACTGACATACCTCTTTCGCCTCCTTTACATCCATATATCTACGCATACATGCTCGTCGGTTAAGGGTACTTTTAACGTGGACCATTTTCAAAATATCGCCAATTTGGTCGGTAAGAAAGAAAGAAAGAAAGATTTATTGCAGCACGCCACAAACATCAGTAGGCACTTAAATTTTGACACATCAATTATAAACATTATAACAAACAAAAACAAAAATAGGAAACAAAACCACAATTTGACGGATAAAACAATTTAAAAGTATTAATACTTATAGATTATAATTTAAAAAAAAATAGAAAGACAAAAAGAATCGTTTCTCATATTGTACGAGTATGTTGTGGCGCGTCATACAAACGGACCTCACTCAGCTTATGCTGTCGCCGGAGCAACAGCGCTGGTTTTCAGTGGGCCCGAACGGATAATAACGTACGGACGTCCGCGAGTGATACATAATAATATTCTAAAACCAATCCGTCTAACTATGCTGAAATTATTGATTTCAAACCAAACAAAGGTATGTACATGTGCTTATTATACATGCATTTTATTTTTATTTTCAAAAAATTTGTTACCAGTGTGCTCTTAACTTTATTAATTAATATGTTACATTATTTCAAAACTTATTATTACGTTGTATTTCTTTTCTTATATTCATTTATATGTATATTTTTAACACTTATTTCTAAAACTTATACATAAATTACCTCAGTTATTGATAGACGACACTAAATTACACTTTTTTTTTTAGCCTACGGTCAGTGGACCTATCCGAACAGTATCCAATTTGAGGTTATAATATTATCATCAATCAACTTTATTAGTTGCGACCTTGTCCGCCTGTGCTATGTGCCAGTACCCATTTTGGTGAGTAGTACGCTTCAGCCTATGTTCTTCTGAGTTGATATTAGATAGTTTTTATATTTTTCTTTAAAGGTTTTAATAGTTTTCAGGCTACGAAGTGATGGCGGCAGGTCGTTCCAACACTTGAGGCAGCGTACCTAAAGCTCCCACGAAAAGCAGCGGTGCGATGGAATGGCACGGCGAGAGAATAAGTCGACGCACGAGTTATTTTTGAATTTACGTCGCGCGACCATACCAACTTTTGGAAGAGATAAGGTGGCATATTATATTTAATTATACCAAACAGTAGTGTTGCTAAATGAAAGTGACGACGATATTTCATTATTAATTTGTTGCCTTCGTTGATGTACGGCGTAACGTGAGTGCGTGGCGGTATGCCGAAGCAAAATCTTGCACAAGCATTCTGAACTCGCTGAATGAGTTTTTGACTACGTATTAATAGACGAGGACCATAAACTACATCCATGTAATTAAATTTAGAAAGAATTAATGAGTCACAGAGCCTTATTCGAATATCTGTGTTCAGGAAATTTCTAATTTGATACAGGACTTTAAGTCTGTAGAAGCAATTTCTAGCAGTATTAAGTATGTGATTCTCGAAGCGCAAACGATCATCCATAAGCAGACCTAAATTGCGAGTTTCAGTCACACGTTCAATTTGTTCCCTTTTTATGGTGACATGAAGCCGTTGATTCGCAATGTTTTGAATTTGCTTAGCCGTTCCTAGAATCATATACTTTGACTTATTTCCGTTTAAAGCAAGAGCATTCGATTTTGACCAATCAGCAATGCCTTCTAAATCTTTGTTTAATTTGTTTATTGCTGATTGAGTTTCCTCAGGCTTACATGATATGTAAATCTGTGTGTCATCAGCGTACATATGATATCTACAATGTTTGATGTGATCTACCATATTTGCACAGTACATAGCAAACAAAAGTGGTCCTAAAATTGAGCCTTGAGGTACACCTTGTTTCACAACCTTGAAATCGGAAACTAGCGGCAACCCTCTATGGTCAGAAATTTCTAATCGCTGTGCGCGATATTTAAAGTAGCTCTCAAACCATTTCACCGCAGTTACGTCGAAACCATAATAGTGCAATTTTGACAAAAGTAATGGTACATTCAAGCAGTCAAATGCTCTAGAAAAGTCTAGTAAAACTAATATTGTGCCTTTTCCAGAGTCCTGGTCTGACAGAATATCATCGATTACTTTAATCAGAGCGGTAGTTGTACTATAATGTTGCCTAAAACCCGATTGTAAACTAGGGAGTATTTCATTTGTTTCCAAATACTTTCTTAGCTGCTCGACCACAACCTTCTCTAAAATCTTTGACACACAGGACAATATGCTGATCGGGCGGATGTCCTTCATGTTAGTCGGATTTGCGTTTTTAGGAATAGGTCTGACCAAAGCGTGTTGCCATTCTGTGGGATATGTATGGGTTTCTATAGATTTGTTAATTATATTTTTTATAACAGATATTGTGTTGGGTATTGACATTTCGAGCATATTAAGGGATATGCCATCTACGCCAACCGCATTTGATTTTAATGACTGTACTATTTTTAAAATATCAATTTCCTGTACTGTCTTTAGCTTAAATTTACTTGAAACTTTTATATGAGATTCAAAGAAAGACGTGTTAGAAGTAAGTATTTGATCATGTCCAGGAACATTTAAAAAGCTGGTATTAATTAAATTGGGATCATTAAAAATATGATACGGTAGTTCTGGTTTACTTTTTAACCTTACATTTTTTTATGTGTGACCCTATGGCTTTGGGATCTCTTTTAGTATTGTTGATATAGTAGTCATAGTATGCCTGTTTTTATTTGCGAAGCACCTCAATACAGTATTTTTTTAGTTCCTTATAATAGTTCCTATGTATCTCTGAACCAGATTTACGTGCTACTAAACCAGCTTCAGCCCGGAGTTTCATAATTTTTTTTTATATTATAAATGATCCAGGGATATTGTAAATGTCTTACAGTTTTTGTGCAAAGAGGCGCATGAATATCAAATATGGTTAACATCATTGTGTTAAAAAGAGATACCATATCATTAACGTCATTCAGGGTGTTGATGGTTTCCCAGTTCATCGACTTTAGATCTAATTGAAACTGTTCGACATCAATGGAATGTAAGTCTCTGCGTGATATTATAATTGGTTTTTGTTTGGGCTTTTTGAAATTAATTTCACAACAAATAAATGCATGGCTACTCAGATCGGGTATGTGATTAACTAAAATATTGTATTGCTGGATGTCTGTACAAACTATATCTATTAAGGTTTGACTATGATCGGTGAAATGAGTTGGTTCAGTTACACATTGGCTCAGTTTGTAGCACTGTAAGAATTCTCTAAGTTTTTTATAATTACTATCCGCGGTGTTCAATACATTTATATTAAAGTCCCCTAACAAGATTATATAATTGCACCATTTGCAAGATTGCAAGAGTCCCGATAGTTTCAGACAAAGCATCGAAAAATGTGTCTACGTTTAACCATGGTGGTCTATAGGCAGTACCAATCGCGATCTTAGTACAGTTAATATTTAGAGCAAGCCACATCTGTTCTACAAGCGGAGTCGAAGGATGAGGCAACGTTCTAACAGCTAGACCCTGCCGTATGTGGAAGCCAACTCCGCCACCTCGCGAGCGCACATTGGTCGGTCGGGGAATGTGACGTAACCGGTATCCTGGCACCGTGGGCGCGCGCGCTTCCTCACCCTCATGCAACCAAGTTTCGTTAATCGCCATTAAATCGACAGCGTGGCGATCTATAGCTACTACTAGTTCTTCATGGCCTGTACCTAGTGAACCTACATTTAGAAGCCCTAACTTAAGATTACTTGTCATGTTGTATGATATAAAAGTATATTCACAATTGACATCTTTGACCAACAGATATCAGAGTAATACTCACAATAATTGTTCCTACTCTGAGCTTGTTTCATTACTCTATTTATGTTGTTGTAAGTTTGTGATATCATAAGAATGTTAACTGAATTTAGCAAATAATTATAACGGGTAGGATTTAGGAGATATACATATTTTCTTACATTTAAATAACTAATGCCTATAAAGCTTATAAAGGAAGTAACATAAATATACATACGTATCGGCCCTGTAGACATTGTCCTACTACACACATAATAACAACAACAATGAGCGTCAAGCTTTATAAAGTCTGAGTAATGTAAAAAGACATTTACTTTGTTTGGTAAACAGTTAATAACAAATGATGCACTAATAAAATTCAAAAGACTATAACAAATAATGTATATGGGTAGCAAATATTTTATGACTGTAAATGGAAATACAAATAGCTTATTACGATAACTTGACCCAACTATATTTTTTTAAATGGGATTTCGTATTATTTCGAAGTTGTAAATAAATCTTATTAATAACTATGGGTATATACGAGTACCCACAAAACAATTGACGATAGTAAATAGTTACAAAATTAAATAAAGAAATTAAAAACACTAATTCATTTTTGTAGGTAAACTGAGAGACAGTTATGGTGATCGAACAAATTCGGACCCAAAAACCTTAGCAATATCCGCGTTGAAGCGAATGCGATTTATTGGAGCTCCTGCTTCCCGACGTGCAAAAATTCGGCCTCCCTTCGTCCAAACATATCGCCATCCCTGCTTGTGGTCTGTCTCGCGTGCCATGCGAAACAACTGCTTATTTGTTTTAGTCAGTCGTTCGTTTATATAGATATTGCAGGGTGCGGACTTAAGACCTAGAGCCTCGGTTGTTAGAGACCGGCGGACGCGGGAAGCACGCAGCACGTCGTTACGCACGTCGCGCCGCGCCAGCCGCACAGCGATGGGCCGCGGACGAGACGTGGCATCCTGGCGGCCGCCCCCCACCCGCATACAATGGACCAGTTCCTTTTCCTCCAAATGAACACCAAGCTTGGTCACAACTGATAGAACCAAGTGTGTTGGGTTCTCCCCACTCTCCTCTGGAATGCCACTTAATTCGACGTCATTTGCAAGCAACTCCTGATCCCTATCGTTTAAGTCGGCTTGCAACTGATTGACGGTCGACTCGAGTTTTAGGATTTCAATTTTTAATCCTTGAGAGCTATATTGCTCTTGTGATTCCAGGATAGTTTGGACCGTGTTCTCGAGCTTATCTAAACGAGCATCGCATTTGCTGACAAGGTTTCTTATGTCCTGAAGTTCTTCTCTGAATGCCCGAAATTCTTCGCGGGTTTGTCGCATTTCTTCTCGGAAACATCGCAATTCCTCTCCGAGGTTTGAAACCTCACTCGAATTAGCAACAGTAATTGTTGCGGGTTTTATCAGCGTTGTGTCCTTGTTGCAACGTTTTTCTTTCAATTTGCATTCAGGGCAAGCCCAGGATGGCATTAGTGAAGCGCCCACTGGGATGCCTACACACGCACGATGTAGCTGTTTATTGCACTTTGTACAAGTAACATTAGCGCCATCTTGCGGAGACATGTATTTACCGCACGCACTGTACTTAACTGCCATGATCAATAAGTTTTAATACGAGTAATTGATAAAGCAAAATTATGCGTTGATTTATTAGTACACAACGGAAGCGTGAGATGGAGCTGTGTTGATCAGTACTATATGACGGTATTATGTTATTAAATTTTATTCGATGACATTTAAAAATAAAATGTTTTTAATATGTAAATAATGTTTCTTTTTTACTATTTATTCACTAATCACTAAACACTCTAATGTATCCACACCATATAAGGTTCGCAGTACACATATGTTTAACTTTTGCACAAAAATTCTAACTTAAACAACGTCCAAATAATTTTAAATTTACATAAACTCTTCCGACTCACTAACTATGTATCTCAGGACGGGCGTCCGTGACGTTACCCCTAACGGTAAACTTTTTTCTAGGGCGTCCCTTCCCGACTCTGCCGTTCACATCTGCCATATAAATTTGCTTTTTCACTCTTTCCTCATTCATTCTTTCTATGTGACCAAACCACCGAAGCATTCCTTTCTTAATCCTGGTCACAACATCATCTTGAATACCACATTTATCTCTTATCACGCAATTTCTCACCCTGTCATTCAGATTCAACCCTAAAATACTCCTTAAAGACCGCATTTCTACAGCATTTATTCTACTTTCGTGCTTCTTTTGCCACACCCAGCTTTCACTACCATACATTAAAGTAGGGACTAACACAGCATTATGAATTACCATACGTGCCTTTTTTGACACATTCTGGTTCTTCACAATAGAGTGTAGTACCCCATTCACTCTATTCCCTGCATTTACTCGTCGTTCTATATCCTTATCATATCTACCATCCCTGCTAAATACACATCCCAAATACACAAACTCATCCACTTGCTCAATTAACTCTTCTTCTATTCTTATTTCACATACCGTTTTGCTTTCCTCTCTTTCAAAAACCATCACTTTCGTCTTACTTGCGTTCACTTTCATTCCCCTTTCTTTTAATTCCCAGTTCATTAATGTAACCGTCCATAAATAGGTTGAACAGCCAAGGGGAAGCCACACAGCCCTGTCTGAAACCTTTTCGGATGCCAAAACAGTCCGAGTAGACCCCATTGATCCTGACACAAGCACTAGAATCCCTATAAAGAGACCTCAATGCCTGTATCAAACCAGCGCTCAACCCATATGAGTTCAGTGTTTGCCATAACACATTCCTGTCCACTCTGTCATAAGCCTTTTCCAAGTCCATGAACGCACAAAAAAACTTTCTGGTTTTTAGCCAAAAATTTCTCCGCAATCATGCGCATGGAAAAGACTTGATCTGTACACCCCACATCCTGTTCGAAAACCCGCTTGCACATCTAAATTTTTCCATCAGTTTCTTACATAACTCTTTCAATTAACACCTTATCATACAGTTTACCCACAATACTAAGCAAGCTGATACCACGGTAGTTTTTGCAGTCCTGCTGTGACCCTTTTTCTTTATATATTGGTACTGCAACTGCTCTACACCAGTCATCCGGTACCCGTTTTAATTCACAACACAAATTAAACAAGCTGTACAGCAGGCCTGCCACCACTCCCTCTCCAGCTCTTAGCATCTCGGGTGATACTTTATCATATCCAGCTGCCTTACCTGCTTTCATGCTTTTCATTGCTTTCATTATTTCATCTACACTTATCTCCATACCCCTTTCCACTTCTTTCGGAATTTCTTGTTCATTTAATTCAGACGACTCTTCACTCATAAACACGCTTTCAAAGTATTCCTTCCATCTGTTTAAATTCGAAACTTCATCATTCAGAATACATCCATTCTCGTCTCTTATAGCATAAATTATAGGCTGTTTTGTATTTCCCCTGGCAGTTCTCACGAGTTTTCATAACATTTTTATATTAGCCTGGAAATTATCAGATATCTTTCTATCATTATTATCCGTTCTTTCTTTCTTTTTCCTTTCAACTACTTCTTTCACTCTCTTATTTAGACGTCCATATTCTGTCTTTTTTCTTTCAATCTCATCATTCACACCACCAGAATTACCAGCTTTATTTGCTAGTAAATCTAACCATGCTTTCTTCTTTGATTCAACTTCCACCCGTACCTCATCATCCCACCACAACGTATTCCCTATTCTTATCTAATGAATATAAAATATAACCAATGTTACAGAATGAAACAATAACCCTTATATTTTCCTAACTAATTAACTTCCCCGCTGAGAAATCTGGCAAATATTATATCTCATTCAAAGTAATGATGATTTAAAAAAATTCGTGGATGTTGTAATTAATTAAACCGTCATTAATTATATTTAGCCTTTTATACGCAAAAATCTATAATATTTGTAGGAATTAATATAAAGTTCGTTTCAGTAAACATGGCGTATTACATACAGTATGGTTGTAATGACCATAAAGTCGGTTGATTGAGGTTGAGTTTTAATACCTTACAGTTGGGGAACGAAAGTACTTGTGCAGAGAAACGTTGGGGATACTGCGGGGCAGGAGGCGGGCCGACCTTGCGCTATCGCACTTCACTCAGTCTGATAGACAATACGCGCGGTTGGCACGAGCGTGTTTTAGAGTACTTATTTAAATAATTTTAGTTGCCGTTTTCGAAAATTATAAAATCTATAATGATGAATGACTGTTATTTTTATACGAGTTACTATGTAAAATTGAATTAAAAAGACGGCCATCTTTATTTTTTCCTCAATTTTTGTTTATAATTTTTTACTGTCTATTATTAATATACATAAATATTATTAATTTTTATCCGAATTCAAATACGTTACATAGCTAAATTAAACAAGCAAAAACTGCAAAATGTTTTTAACTAATATAAGAATGTGTGGTGGCGCTGTCGTCGCGTCAGTCAGAGAAGTAAAAGATCGAGAGAAAAGCTGCATTACAGCACAAAAATTCCGAGGACTAGAGACATTTGCCAGCACTGTCTCTAAACTGAGTTAAAACATAGTTCAGCAGTAATAATAATAATTTTGTGATCAAATTTCGATCACGGCGGTCAGTCTGAACGGAGACTAGCCATCTGCGAAGGACAAAGTTATAATCCTCGAGTAAAAGCGCAAGCAAAGGTGCACTTTCTATCCTCACTCTCATAATCCACTTGGACGGTAATCAGACGCTTGGACGGTGACAGAATCGGAGAGAAATCAGGTGCAGGACCTACGGCTTTACGTGTTTTTCGAGGCATGGGGTTGAAAAACCGCTAACTTCCTGACCTGGGGCTGCTTTTGAAAACTTCTTGACAGAAAAACCCAACACATATTCAACGAAAAGATCTTATGATCAGCCTCCGCGTCCACGACCACTAGACCAATGATAAAGTTATATAGAGCAGTACTGCAGTACAGAACTAAATACAATAGGATAGGATAATTTTTATTCAGTATAGATGACAAGAATACTTTAAAAAGTCATTTTACTTTTATCACTTGTTCAGAAATAAAAACTCTGTTCTGGAAAAAACCTGCAAAAACCATCGGAACTTTTTTAAACATTAATTTAAAATATAATATATTTACACAATTAAGTACGGTTAAGTCAGATAGACTTATCTGTAAATTCCTTTAAATCTATTGAGAATATAATAAGTAGTAATTTGAATTAATACAGGTCAACCGCAGAGGTCCTAACAAAAAGTTCATTAGTGCGAAGTGTGGACATTATTTTCAGCAGTCGGAAGGTATTTTATATCAGGGCGTGGTCCAATAAATCGTTTATAAACGAGGGCCATCTGCAAGCTCTGCTCTCGACCTTAAGAATTATCTTCGTATTTTATAGGATCAGAGAAAGTTTTAAAAATGTTAATTATTCTTAGTTATTGGATGAAAAAAATGAATTAGTCAAATAATAAACGCTGATATTTAATGTACTGGTATATATACCTACAACATGTAACAAAAACTCCGTTGTTTCCATTAAATGTGATATAAGAAACAGTATTGAAACCCATATAAATAACTATCCATTATAAAAGTGGATCATAAAAAGTTTAATTTAATTTAAATAAATATTTATTTTCTGTATATGTACCTATAAACAAAAGCACAGTTAGCCTAATAATAAATGGATGCTGCAGTCCCTAAACACCTACATCTATCCTCGGTTAAGAATCGAAATGCAGATGCGCAGACTTCAGGACTGAGATTTCTATTAAAAAGGGTCTTTGGTCCAGAGACAACTCTCTCGGCTCTCCTACCTGAAAGTAATTAATATTGAGGAGGTTAGAGTGAAGTTAAATACCTTGCCCTGCTCGGCAGAGAATTCTCTCAGAAAAAAATTGTACACATATATGTTCTGTTGTGTGTGTAAAACAAAGTTTGGTGAAGAAATATCCACCGCAATGCCCAATACGTGAATATTTCTCAGACGAGAGAGTCTCCTCGCGATGTTTTCTTTACCGCCGACCACGTAGTCAATCAATTAACAATTTCATTTGTGCCAGCGGGGATCAAATCCAAGTTGTTCACGTACGGTGAAAATTACAGCAAGCACGTTGCTCCTGAGTTATCATTTCTTTAGCTCATTTACTAGTTCACTACCATTTTTCAATTAGATTGCGTCGTTACGAGCAACTCAGGATGATTCATGTGAACCGTACTTTCGCAAATATAAAATTCTGACTCTACCTTGTATGTATATATATGAGGTTGCAAACTTTGTTCGAAATAACCCAATTTATTTTGAAATGAATACTGCCGGAAGTCGTCGTGAAGGAACATTGAAAGTTAATCACAAATGCAAATCACTTCTTCGAAGAATGTGTGTAAATTGCATGGCACCAAAAATCTATAATAAAATCCCGTTAAATATACGATTAATTAATGATATCAAAAGATTTAAAACTACGCTCAATGGCTTCCTTGTTGAAAAAGTGTACTATGACATAAGAATATTTTTTGATGACAAAATGTAAAAATATACTTCAATTTTGTTCATATACCTCTAAGGTGAAACATGGCTGTATCTTATAATAATTTTATATGTGACATCCTGTAATACCCATGCT